ATATTTTGTCAGTAATTCTTTTATATATGTTACAACTGGCAATATTTTGTGGGGTTTTTATTCAGTTCTAATAATTTTTCTTTTACAATGATTAAGACTAAGTAGAAATTGTTTATTGTGATTTTTGTTCCAAGTGCTTTGTTGCTTTAGCCATTTTCAAGGAGGTGGTCATTTTGTTTTCAATTTCTAGCCTGCAAGGTGTGTGTGTGAGGGGGGGGCTACAGGAGTAGTAGTAATTTCATATTGGAGTTTTTATTTTAGTGATCAAAACAAAGTCAGGATGCCCTGACTGCTTTCAAAGCAAATAACATTTAAGTATAGGTCTGTTGGTTTTTATTAGGAGTGCTTCAATTATCTTTATCACATTTTTTTTTACAACCCAATCTTACTATTTCAAGGATTGTTCTTATGGGTGTGGTGAGTTGGGTGTGAGTGTTTAAATGCTTCCTGGTCAAATGAAGGTCGCTCAAGTGGTTGATTAGGTGACTGCTTAAAGAGCTTGTCATGTGACCAATGTATTGTTTTTAGTTTTTATCTTTATTATCAGGAAGACAGCACTGAAAAGGAAAATTTAATTTATAGACAACATTGGAGGTCTGGAGTTTGAATTATGTGTCATAAAACAATACATTTAACCTGTAGGCACTACTAAATGCATAAAACTCACCATATCTTCCTCAACCAAGGCAAGCCTCTTATACCTCCATCTTTGTCTCTAACCCAACATTGGATGACAAAAACCATCCCCTCCCCAAGTTCTAACATCTCACTGAGCACAAACTCAGTAATATTACCATTACAGCACTAGACTTATCAAAGGCCTTGACCACTGGTACGGACAAAATTCTGGTGGTTTTCCTTAAGAACATCAACACTGGGACTATCCCCAACCCTAGCAAAAGTATTCAACTGTTGCTTGCAAGATAAATCCTTCCCAAACCTGTAGAAGGTGTTAAGCATATGCCCAGTTTTCAATCTTCCCTCCTCCCAGTACAGACCCATCAGTCTCTTCAGAGTCATCAGCAAGGTCTTTGAGGCCATAATCAATAAGAAGGTCACCGAGAACCTAGAAAAGAACAATATGGGCTTCAGTCAGGCCCAATCCCCTGCCAACATCCTAATTACCATCACTCACAGAATGAGTGAGGCTCTTGACAACAAACACACCTTGAGGACCATAGCAATAGATATACCAAAGGCCTTCAACAAGGTGTAGCACAAAGGCTTACTACACAAGCTCTTCAGCTATGGAATCACTGGAAGAGTCTTCTTGATCATAAAATCCTTCCTAATATGTAGGTCCCTGAAGGTAGTTATCAATAGCCAGTCCTTTGGTGCCCTAGAGGTCAATGCAAGTGTCTCCCAGGGGTCAGTCCCATCTACGAAGATGATAAAACTATATACGGGTGCACCTCTAAAACTCTTGATAGTCAGAGATTGGTAACTGAATTCTCTTCTGATCTTGCACAAACTACTTAATGGGGTAAAAAATGGCTGGTTACATTCAATGAATGTAACCAGCCATTCAAGACCAAGCTAGTTATATTCCATCATTGCTGATCTGACCCTGAAATACCACCAATGTTAATGAACGGAGGTCCTCTCAGAGAAGCACCATGCCTCAATTGACTGTTGTGCCTCAAACTTACACCCATCCTCAAGTGAAACTTGTACATATGATGCAGGTAAAATGATCGGCTCCCTGTACCACTCCAGTAAGTACCTGACTCCTCTTGCTATCCTCTACCTTTACAAGAGCCAGATCAGGCAAAAAATGAAGTACTGTTGTCATATTTGGGTGGGAACTGCCCAGACCACACTCTCCAGCCTTGATAGAGTTCAAAAGTGTCATTGAGTCCTTGTTGGTGATGGACTATTCTCCACGCTTCAACCTCTCTTGTACAGGCAGGATGGAACAAGCCTCACACTGATCTACAGATGAACTACATTCCCCGGTCCTGCCGAGGCAAACTTTCACAGCAGGAACATGCCATGCCACTTACATAGTAGCCAACCACACACATTCTCTTTATATTCCATCAGTGAGAAGTAAGTTCAACTCAAACAGCATACCACTTCTCTGTGGAACTGACTCAACAGGATGTTTCTCTGATCACTACAATCTTAACCTGTTCAAGGTCTTCCACTCTTATCCACACAAATGACCTCCAAACATAACCTTATAGTCTGTGAATTCACTTGCGCACTTACCTCTTTAATAATAATAATAATTCAAAGAGCACATACATTGGTTATACAACCATTACATTATCACACTGATTAACTTGTCATTTATTCAATAACAGTTCAATTAAATTGCATATCCTTAACAAATACAAAAACAAAACACAAGAAATCCAACAATAACACAGAAACATTACATCCCATAAAGTGTAAAAAAAAAACAAACTACAAATACAAGTATCCTTAAGCAACTCAACATTAATAAAGTTTTATCATATTCAGGAAAAAACATTAAATATATTTCCTAACGAAAAAAATATGATGTAACAACCTGAACATTGATACATGAGGACACAATACTTTAAAAATCTGATATGACATGTGAAGAAAAATATTTAAAGAGATGAAAAAGATAATACAAAAAACACAAGACATAGATGTGATGACATTATCAACACAAATAACTCTTTAATAAGGGCTTGTGAAATCTGAAAGTACACAGATGTTGGGCAATTCATATCTATATTTAAACTTTCTCTGGAAATCAGGAAAATGGTTTGAGTTATAAAATAAATAAACAAAAAATTATTAACAAGGAATTCCATTGGTCTTTAACGTGTGTGTATATATATAATTTTAATTAAAAAACAGACAATCTTAAGCGTCCATTGATTATACTTTATTTCCCCGGGAAAGGGATTTTTCCTGGTTCCTCAGATCACATTTCCAAGCAATATATATGTATGTATCTAGTCAATGTAATATATTTGACACTTTTTGTAATACACTACAATTCCAGGAATCAGTTCACATTATCGACTAATCTAATAATGTTTCCATCATTCAACAAGTTCAATATAATAAAACACAAAAATCATAACACATAATATGAACACAAAAATCAGATACATATGACATTTAAGACATAAAACAGTTTGAGAGTTAAGATAGTGCTATCATATTTGTGAACACTCATGGCCTATAAGATCATCAGTTCAAAAACAACATCAGGATTTGAATATCCATGGACGGAAATTAAACAGTGTGTATTATGGTGTGCACACTTGATAAATCTTAATAACAAAAATAATACAAGCTGTAATACACAATTTTTAAAAAGAAAATCACTATCCACTAAAAATAATGTTTGAAGTAATAAAAATATTGGATTAAAAATAAATTCTTTAGAAATTGCTTTCAGATACAAAACTAGGGAAAGGATGTTGTGACATAGGCATGATATGACAAGTTTTTTCTTGTTAATTTTATATACACGACTCCTTGCCTACATAACACTTACCATTTGTCTCTACCTACACTGACTATGACTTAAGAAAGTCGAAAAGACTGGACCATATTTCTTCCAAAATGAATTATGGTCAATTTCTGAGCAAATTTCCCCTTTGTCTTATAAAGATCATTTGCAATTTGGAAAAGGTGATCAGTAAAATTAAACAACATAAAAAGTCCATTGATTTTAATCATATTAATCTGTCCTTGCTAGAGGGTCCGTCTATGAAATTCTGGAGTCAGGATGTTGAAGATAATATCAATCTGCTAAGTGAAAAATTTTATATTTGTATTATTTATATATATATATATATATATATATATATATATATATATATATATATAAAGTGGACACTGAAGTCAACACCCAGAGGCAACAGCCTTTCTCATGTTTAAATGCAGTTATCAGGCCATATTCACTGTGTTTTTGCTTGACACTATATATATATATATATATATATATATATAGATCAGTCATGCATTGTGGGTAGTCTATTGTATTGGTCTATCAGTTATAGTTATTCTAGGAGCTATTGTGTGCATGCATGGTTTGTTAATTTATTTGTTATTTACTTTATTTATTTACTTATTTATTAGTTTGGATTAATTTGTTTCACCTATTTTTGTTTATTTATGTTATTTATTCAATGTCCACTTTTATATTTACATAAGCTGTATCGCCGATATTCAGCACTTTAACCCATATATAGCAGGCCTTAAAACTATATAGATACACACACACACACACACAGGAATAAAAGAAAAAGGAAAACTTAACTGACGCATTTCATTTTCTGAGGGACTTTATCAAGTCAAATGTAAGGATTTTGTGACAAGTAGTTATATACAAGAGCAAAAAATGTTATTGGTTTTTCAAAGTTTATTAATAATCATTTTTCACCATCAATTTTATATTAAATATCCATATTTCAAGATCATTAAAAAATACTTAGCTTCATTCCAGAATAATCAATAGTAAAATAATAATAATAATAATAATAAAGTTTATTACTCTGCAGACGGTTATAATAGCCTGTAATAATAATAGTAATAATAACAGTAGTGGTACCAAACAAGCGTAATGACAGTAATAACATCCTAGAAGTCTTAATAGTGACAGATAATGAAATAAATATTTGGCCAGAAGGAAATCCTCCCTGCAGTGTTTAAGATAGCAATCAGAGAAACATTGTGGCAAAGACAATAGCAATTTGTCTGGTTGGGCCTAAATTTCAACAACACCATTAAATTGTCATTAGACAATCTCTTTTAGAAAGAAGAAAAATGAAGAGAGAGAAAGACTATGTATCAGGATGAGTATGGAATAGATATATGTACCTTGTGATTATTGTAAATTTTACATGTACTAGATTGGCTATATGTGAATAGGATTGCCATTTACTCCAATATGAAGCTTATGATTGCTTTCTTTTCATTAAACTACAGGTTATAGGTATCATCAACTAAGTAGTTGAGTTTGTAACAAAAACCCCACTAAGGCTTAGTCCTTTACTCAGCCACTGGATCTATGAATCACTGATGGTGTAAATGGTATGGGTGGTGCAAAGATGAAAATAATGGTGAAATAATGGATCAAGTAGTAGTTGATGATAGCAAAGATAAAAAAGAAAGATGCAGAGGGAGTAGAAAAAGAGAAATAAACAGAAGACTGAAAAAGAGTGGGTTGAAAGAAAGGATAAAGGAATTGTGGTAGGTAGAGAGAGAAGGATGAAATTAAAGGTACAAAAGAATGGTATTAATATGTTGAAAGGAAAGGAAAGAGAAAGGAAGCATGGTAGGGAGAAATTGAGTGTTGAAACTGAAGGAAAAAAATGAGAAATGAAGAAGAAAAAGGAAGAATGGTATGAAGAAATTGAGGGTTGTAACTAAAGAAAAAAGAATTAAAAATGATAAAGGAAAAGAAAGAGAAAGGGAAAAACAAAGTAAAAACTGAGGATTAAAATTAAAGAGAAAGTAATAGAAAGTTTAAAATAAAGAAAAGAGAAAAAAAAAGAGAATAGAGGGAGAAGATAGAGGAAAATAAGAGAAAGAAAGGAATGGAAAGTGTAGTGACATTGGTAAAAATGGACTTGCCTTATTATGTTTTGAGTCCATTGACTACTAGAAAGTCAGTTGTCACTTAGCACAGAGAGAGAACTTAAAATGTGAGTTTGTTTTGAAGGAATTTTGGAGACTGACACATACTTCAAAATTATTCCTATCACAGTAGAGAAATGTAAAAAAAGTCATGGAATTGTGAGATTAGATGCCTTGAAAGTGGATACAACCAAATTAATTAACAGTGTGAAGTTGGAAAATAATGACATGGGGATTCTAAAAGAATACAAAGTGAGCATTCAATTAAAAGAAAATAGTCATCTCCCTTATTTTGAGTCTCACAGACGACCCATTCATATTACCTTTGTAGTTGTTAAACTAAAAACAATGGTGGAGCAAGGAATTTAAGTGCATGTTCCCCTGGTGGTCATAATTGGGCCTCACCCATTGTTGTTTTATAAAAACCAGATGGAGATTTAAGGATATGTGGGGATTACAAAATAGGAGTAAACTACAAAATATGCTCAGATTCATTTCCTATTCCTAACACTGAAACTGTTATTCACGAGTTATCAGGAATTACATACTTTGCTAAAATTAACCTCAAATCTACCTATAACCAGATACACATTGATAAAAAATATAAAGAGGTCACTATGATTAACTCTCCAATAAGCTTACTGAGATGGAAGCATATACCTTATGGTGTAAAAACAGCAAGTACTATTTCTTCAAAGAGCCATTGAAAATGTACTAATTGGTGATGTTAAAATATGATCATCTATCAAGACGATATATGTATTGGTGTTACCAGTAGAGAAGAGATAAAAATAACCGGATTATGTTTGAAACAAATGAAAAAAATGCTTGGATTGCCATACAAACAGATAAATGTATGTTAAATTACAACTCAATAACATATATAGGATACCAGATTCCCAAAGACAGAATTTTACCAGAAAATAGCAGAGGTATTTACACCTATAAATAAAAAAAGAATTGGAATCTTTTTTAGAGTTAGCCAATTTTTATAGCATATATTTGCCAAATTATAGTGAATTGATAAAACTCATTGCGAAGTTACAAAAATTGAACAACAAATTCCAATGAGCTCCATAGCAGAATACAGTATTTGAAAATATAAAAAAAAGAACTTATAGAAAAAAAAAATGTTGTAAAAAATTTTTGACCCTAAAAAGGAAATGATTTTAACTACAGATGCAAGTGAATGTGCTGTATCAGTAATTTTGTCTCAAGAAGTTCATCCTATAATGTACCTTTCTAGAAGGTTAACATCCGCCAAGGCTAACTATTCAAATATTGAAAAAAATATTAGCTATCCTATGGAGCATAGATAGAGCTTGCCAATTTTTGCCAAGCAGGGGGGTTTCTGCTTACATCTGACCATAAACCTTTACAGTTTATTTTTAACCCCAGGAAGGAATTACCTCTAGAATTTTAAGATGGGCCATAAAGCTCATGACTTTTGACTTTGATATCAAATATGTGAAAGGAAACACCATTTCACATGTAGATGCTCTATCAAGACTAATGCTCAACAATGAGCCATTAGAAAGAGCAGACAATTCAGAAGATAAAATATTGAACTAGTTTGATATGGAGGTATTACTCTTAGATTGTCTTGCATTTTAAATCTTACAGGATCCGGTATTAAGCAAGACTGCATATAGAATGACAAGAAAAAAAATGGAGTGATTGTTCTAGAATGGAGAGACCCTATAAAGAGATGAGGCACAGGTTAACTATAGAGAAGGGTCTTAATAAGATATTTTAATACCACCAGAGAGAGTAATAAAAAGCTTATTAACAAAGCTTATTAACAATTTCAGTGAATACCTTGTTAGTAACATGGCTTGGCTTAATGTCCAGTAAATTCTAAATCAGAACCCAAATCATTGATGCACACAATAATTCACACTAATTCAACTGGATAGTTCCACTCAATAGTCGCTCAATAAGCACTGCAGTCAGTAGCCTGACACCACTATTTATACACCTGGCGGAAAAACATATATTCATAAGTCCAGAGTGTCAAGCCCAAATCTCGGTGTCAGTAGTTACTCATTTTCTTCCTATATGACACCTGTCTTTTTGAGATGACACCTGCCTTTTTTAGATGACATCTCTGGAGTCTATATCTCTTCAGTTTGGGTTCAATATTCAAATGTTCCATTACTGTTTTTTTTCTTTGACTGTACATCCTTGGTTCACTAATTTCTGGTGGCATGGGCACATCAAACATGTCATACAATATTTCCATAGGTACCTCTTTTCATGGACTTACTAAATCAGTGAATGTCTGTTTTAACTGATTAAGGTGTTGCTTATGTTCCCACCTTTGTCGCTGTACCATGTACATCATTTTTCCAATCCGTTTTTTTATCACACTGTCTTCCCAGAATTCTTTCCACGTTGGTACATTTTTAAAAGAAAACATTTTATCACCAGGTTTAAAGTATTTATTTATATTATTTTGATTCCTTGATGTTCTTTGACATAAAGGCATAGTACTATTTTTAATATTGGTTGACTCATTCTCTGGATGGCCTGAAGTGGTTAGAATTCAAGATAGGAAGGCAGCCATAGTATAACAAATGCTATGAGTAATATCTTCCAGAAATGGTGTGCCAAAAATGTTAGTCTCTGACAATGCACCAAAATTTTGTGATGAAACATTGCATTCATGGATAAAACAGATTGGATGCCTTTCTCATAAAACACCACCATACCATTCACATTTGAATGGAATTGTATAAAGAATGGTGCAGATGGTGAAAATGATGGTAAGGGCATTTTCCTCATCCAGAGACACCATAGATAGTTACCTACCAACACTATTACTGAGTTATAGAACTATTCCACTTGCTGGTAGAATGCAAAATCCTTCTGCATTGATGGGAAGACAAATTAGATCACCTATAACAATGTCCTATTCAACAAATGAAAAAATGTGGTACAAAAAAGCAGAGAATCAAGTCCTGAAAAGCTAACATTATTGCACTAATTGGATGTAATATAGCTATAATAGCAACAAATGGACAGAATTTATTAGCTCATTTTAATCAAATAAGACCCGGAATTGACAATGGAGTAGTTGAAATGGAAGAAATAGAGGAACCTGAAAAGGAAAAAAGCATGAGTGCTTCTAATGAAGAAAGCGAATATAGTAGTAAAGAAGCTATGGAGGATAGTTTGCACAAATCCGACATGGAGTTGGAAGATCAGAAAGAAGAGGAGTCCAGACCTAGATCCCTGATATGAAGAACCAGATACACACCTCGAGAGAGAGAGAGAGATAAGATCTTGTACTATAGTTCAGAGAAGCCACAGATCAACAAAGGGCATAAAACTGTCTTCATTTCTGAAAGATATAGTGACATAGGCAAAATGGACTTGCCCTGTTTTGCATAGAGTCAAGTGACTACTAATAAGTTAGTTGTCATTCAGCACAGAGGCAGAACTTCAATATCACAGACAAAGATATAAAAACAGAAAAAAAAAAGAAAAGAGAAAGGAAAGGAAAAAAGGAAATGAGAAAAAAAAAACAAAGGAAAGGAAAGAAGAGAAAAAATATTGCAGACAGAAACTGGGGATTAAAATTGAAAAAAGAAAAAGTTTAAAATAAAAAGGAAAGGAAAGAAAAAGAAATGAGAAAAGAAAGGAAAGGAAAAAGAGTGGAGAGAAAAGAAAGGAAAAAGAGTGGAGAGAAAAGAAAGGAAAAAGAGTGGAGAGAAAAGAAAGGAAAAAGAGTGGAGAGAAAGGAAAATAAAAAGAGTGGAAAGAAAGGAAAGTAAAAAGAGTGGAGAGAAAGGAAAGGAAAAAGAGTGGAGAGAAAGGAAAGGAAAAAGAGTGGAGAGAAAAGAAAGGAAAAAGAGTGGAGAGAAAAGAAAGGAAAAAGAGTGGAGAGAAAAGAAAGGAAAAAGAGTGGAGAGAGAAAAGGAAAAAGAGTGGAGAGAAAGGAAAGAATGGAAAGTTGAAACTGAGAAAAATTAAAATAAAAAATAATAGGAAGTTTAAAGGAAAAAAGAAATAACAAAAAAAAGATAAGAATAAAATCAAAAAAGAAAGGAAAAGAAAAGCGAAAGAAAAAATGAAGAAAAGTGAATGACTAAAACAGAAGATAAGAATGTCATGTACAGATTAATTAAATTAATTAATTAATTAGAATAATTTAAAATAGAGAAAAGGAATGAAGTGTTTAAAGCAAAGAAATGTGTATGATAGATGATTCTAAACATTTCTTTCTTTATTTGCTATGTCCTTCAAAACAATGACAGTTCTCTAAAATTTACTGTTTTTTTTTTTTTTTTTTGGTTGCTCTGAATAGTCTTTTACACTTTGACCATTCCTATTTATCCTTGTTCTGCCATCCATCCATCCATGCAAACTCATTAAGTAGGTCACACTCTGTTTCTTCTGCCAATTTTTGGTTAAATATGTCATGAAAGTATTAAATTCTCTTGGTCAACGGTTCTCAAAAATTTTTCCTGCTTGCATCCTTTTTACCATAAGTCAGAATGTTATTCCTCCCTCTTTTCAAGACTGACTCAAAAGTTCCATTCCAAATAATATGTATATATTATTGAAAATCTTCATTCTTTTCCATATTGGTACATATATTTTTATATGGATTATTTTTATAGAGGATGGATTTTTAAAATTTAAATACATGTACAGTAATTTGGTTTAATTCATAACTAATTATTAAATAAATAAACTGAAACATCAATAACCAAAAAGTTTGATAGAATGCTGCAGTATTGAAATTCAATGAACAATATTCTGTAAATAAAAAAATAAGTAAAAAACTACGCCCCTCCTGAAATTCCTCCCTGAGCGGAGGGAATTCTCCCTGATTGAGAACCACTGCTCTAGGCTCTTTTTTTTTTCTTTTTTTTTTTTAATTATATATCCCAGAAATTTCAGCTGTCCTCCTTTTGATTGTAAAGATAATTTCCATGTTGTCTTAAAAATTTCCCTATCAAAAATTAGCTGAAAATTAATTAAAAAATCACAGTCCAATTTCTTTTTTTTTTTTTTTTTTTTGAGGCAGGGATTAAAATTAGCAACACCCTTTCTCTTTCCCCTCAATTCTTTTCATTCTCTCTTCTCATGGACTATTTTACACACACACTAAAAGATCAAAAAAAGAATGTTGTTACTTACATCATCTGTCATTTGGGAACATGAGCTGAATTGAGCTTGCAAGGAATTGATTGATTTCCATTCTTCTTTTCATAATTTCAAGCAGATTCCCAAACATCTTGACTGAAAAATTCATTCTCCAAGAAAATCTGCAGAAGAAGAATAAAATGATTCACATAATTTGGAGTTGCTTTATAGGTTTTATTTATTTTAAGTAGAAGATTCCATATTAAAATATCAGAGGCTTACCATTATGGATCCTCACAAAGCATGTAGACTTGATAGTATCCCTGCAATAGTCCTTATAAAACATACTTCTGGATTGGCTCCTCTTCTCTATAAACTCTACAATAAATATCCTGTTGCTTCTTGCTTGTTGAAAATCAATTTCTATGCTTACAATTTTTTCTCTCGCACTTCTTGCTTGTGAAACTCTTTTCTGGCTTCCTGCTTCTCTGTCAACTTCAATTTTCCAAAATGTAATGTTCATCTTTATCTTCTGTCTTCTTAATTCCTCATCTTTTATATGAAAGCTTCAAAAACAAAAATAGTCAATCTTAGCTAATTTGAGAGCAAAGAAAATAAAAATGATATCCAAAATTGTTGATTGGCTCTAGATTTCAAGATATGATACTAGTTTAATATAAATATTTCATAAAAATTGTTGTCCTTATTATTCTCCTAATAATCTTATATATAATTATTATGCTAATAAACTAATTATTATTCTCCTTTTCACTCAGGTTTCACACATTTAACCTGTGAAAAGTGCCCATGAATGTCTGAACAAAGACAATAATTTCTGCTATGTGTATGGTGAAGTGAATTTTGCATCTCAAAAGTGAAATAACCTGTTGTGAGTAAAGCTTACCAACTATATTTTGGATGTAAAATTGGAGACCAAGAAGTGGGCACAACACATATGCTGTAACACCTGTGCAACAAATCTCAGTCAATGACTAATCAGAAAGAAAAAAATGTCTATGCCATTTGCGATGCACATGAATTGGAGAAAGCCAATCATTCATGCCATCGATTGCTACTTCTGCATGGTGCCTTCAATTGCTAAGGGGCTGTCAAAGAAAAAGAAATGGACAATGCAATATCCAAACATTCCATAAGCTTTGCATCTTGTCCCCTATAACGAAGAAATACAAATCACAGAAGCATGAGAATCATATGAAATTGAGTCAGATGATGAGGTAAACAATGAAACCTGCACCTGAACCATCAACTTCATAGGATTATTATCTAACATCTCTGAATCACACCTCATAACTCAAAGTGACCTAAAGAACTTAGTCAGAGATTTGGAACTTCCACAGAGTAAAGCTAAACTGTTAAGTTCCAGTGGAATCTATTAGCTGTATGGATTTCCCATTTCTATCACAAGGAAATAAACCCATTCTTCATTATAGACAATAATTTGGTGTGCTGCAATCACTTAACATCAGTTACAATCCAGAGGAAGGAAGGCTGTTCATTGATTCCTCAAAGAAAGATCTCTAAGCTGTCTTGTTACACAATGGTAATGTTTTACCTTCAATCCCAACTGGTCATTCCATCTACATGAAAGAAACTTATGACAATATGAAACAACTACTGAGATGTATCACCTATGATCAAACATAACTAGCAATTTTGTGGAGATTTCAAGGTTGCTGTTCTCTCTGCTCTCTTGCTAAGACTGCAAGGTGGATATACCAAGTACTGTTTTCTTTGTGAATAGTAAACAATTTCATCAGGACATTGCAGCAATGGAGAAATGGTAACAGGGCAGGTGGAGTCCATCAATGCTGGCTGATTATTGTTGGACTGTGACCAGAGATACTCCTTCTGCAGTTTACAAAAGACAAGTTAAGATGTGTAGTTGATGAATAATGGCACATGTATATACTTCTGAAGAGAGTTTTCCAGTTGTAAACACACATATTGCCATCTTGATGTGCTCGTGTATTGCTCTGGTAGCCTACATAGAAGAGAACATCAAAACAGATTATGAAAAGTAACATTGTTTTTCTTGGAGACATCTATTGCACTTATGTGTATGACATAACTAACCAAATATCACTAAATCTAAAGCCAATCATTTAATTTGAAGATCATTTTCGAATTCAGCATGCCAGAGTAAATAAGAATTGGCACATTTCATTTTTGAAGTAGTCAACTTGTAAAAAATTGTACACCAGTGTAATGTTTTCTTTTTATCGTATTCTTTTATACTCATTAATGCCTTGTATCTTATATCTTTTTTGCTTTACTTGGGGTGAAACGATTATAAAAATAAAATTAATAAAAGTGGACACAAGGTGGTTTTTTTTTTCACAAACATCTTATCAAACATAGGTATATAATTATTTACTCAGAGTAAACTACTAAATACACATTCAAGTAGTTTAATTCATTTTATAACAATCTTGCCAAATTATATGAGCAATACAGATATACATAAAGAGAGGTGCAGGTTCAAATCCTGCTGGAGGGCACACTTTCATTATTGTTTTTGAGGAGTGTGCAGGCGAAATAAACAGAACGTCTACTCAAATATGTGTATCCACTAAAAATAACATTTGAAGTAATAAAAATATATCTTATAAAAAAAAAAAATCCATTAATTCTTAGAAATTGCTCTGTTTACATTTCAGATATGAAACTGAGCAGATATGGCTCTCAATAAAACCTGAACGAGTGAATGTGCTTTAAGGCCAATAGAACCTTGCTTGAGTTGTGAGGCTCTACACAGCCAAGTAGTCTAATCATGCGGGATCAGACATTGGTTTCTCCTGTAAAGGGGTCGTAGAGTTGAATCCTGCCAAAGGGCACTTTTTTCTTTCTTTTTTTTTTTTTTAAGTTTTGTCAAGTGTGCAGCCAGGTAGATGAAAAATAGAGCATCTACCCAAATACAAGTATCCACTAAAAGTATATATCACCTAAAAATTGCATTCAAGCATGAAGTATATATATATTTTGCACTGCCTATATTTGAGGATCAAAATTCAGCCAAACTTATCATGTGTATTTGGATGTGTTTGTGTCTTTTGTTAATCATTTCACCCTAAGCAAAGCAATAAATCCACTAAGATGCAAAGGGGTTACTGAGTGTAAAAGAATGCAAAACAGAAAAGCACTATTAAGAAATAGAGGGAACAATAAAAGAAAAGGAATTAAGAAGAAAGAAGATAACGATTGACATTTCATTTAAATTTTCGAAGATCAAAATTGATGGAGAAGCCAGTGTTATATGCATATAAGTTAACTTACATAGAAAGATAATGACTCTTGGGAATTATTTTAATTCCCAGGAAGCATATGCACACACACACATATATATATATATTTTACAAGATGGCAATTTTGAAGTTCACAGATATGTTTTCTATTAAACAAGAGAGTTGACATTATGAAAAAGTGTCTAAACACAAAAAATTTCTAATTTCCAATATGAGATTCAATTCCTATGAAAAAATAAAAAATAATTTACCTCCCCATATTTAAGGCTAAAGCTAAGCAAGAATAAAATTTTAACCAGGCTGGACAATCCTTGAATTCAAGGGTGAAAGTACCTCTTGTTTTATTTTTTTTTATTCTGTACTTCTATTGCAATATGTATGTATGTGTGTGTATATATATATATATATATATATATATATATATATATACACACACATATATATATACACACACATTCATTAAAGCAGATATATACATATACAAGTCTACACAAATTGATTTATGCTTTTGAATATACACACCTGTATACATTACAAATTATTTGTCTTATATCTATTTATTTATTTATTCACAAATATTTGAATGTATGAACAAAAATATATCAACATATGGTTGCAAATATTTAAATAGATAAATATGAAGTGGTTGCTGAAAAATTCTTCCCCAAATTTGGCCAAAATGCCAATACCCAAATATCAGAATTTAGGGAGAAATCTCTTCAAAGACTCTTTGGTGGCCCCTCATATATATTTTTACATTTATAAATCAATTATGGCCATTAGAGGAATGACTGATCCTCAGATGAAAATTTCATTTTGATAAAGTGCATACAACGTTTAATTTGACCATTTGGTTGTAGAAATTCAGAAATGAAACATTTTAACTAGTTCTTTGTTTCTGCAACCATTTTGTTTCAATTGTGTTAGAACCTAATTCACAGCAGTATTTATATAGCATTGTTGCTTGGCTGTGCTGACCTGTTTTAAGAACAATAGGAAATTGCCATTTATTGGAGATGATTCTAAAAACACTGATGGCAATTTCTCATGGGTGCAACAACTTTGATTTCAATCAGATACAATGCAGTACAAACTAAAATAAACAACACCCTGAACACACAATATAATAAAATATATCCAAAAATAGACTGTATTGTATATCTATGATGGTTTGGAAATAGAACTAAGCACTAGTTATTTTATAACACAAATGTTAAGGACTGACATGTTATAGTGTCTTGAAAATGTATATATATATGTCAACAGCAGGCAATGTAAATTTTATAAATACATAAGTACATTACAGCAGTAGAAGTGTTAACATTTGTGATTCATATATATGGATGATATTTATTTGCCTTACCATGTAAGCAAATGGTTTACAAAGTCTGTTTAATATGGAGACTAAGCTAAATGACACCCCAAAAAACAATATAATAAACATACATACTTCAAGCAAAAACAGTCTTATTAACACTTTAGTATTGTTGCTTGGCTGTGCTGGCCTGTTTAGGGAAAAATAAAAAAAACGCTATTTACTGAAAATAAACAATTATCAAGACACTGATGGTAATTTCTTGTGAGAACCACTATTTTGATTTCAATCAGATACTCTCCACTACAGATAAAAATAAACAACACTCTCAACACGCAATAAAAAATATGTAAAAAAAAAAAAAAAAAAATACATATTTTATGTTACTATTTACACTGGTTTGGAAATAGCACTAAGTGCTCATTAGTTTATAACACAAACACTAGGGACAGACAATTCATGGTGTTTTGAAAATATACATATATATCTGGCAACAGCAGGCAACATATAACAACATAAAAGTTTGACTTAAAAATGTATGTATATGTTGACAGCAGGCAATATCAGGTTCGTCATGGTGTAAGTAGGTCTACAGCAATAGAAGTGATAAATTACATACTTTTCTTAATTTCCTAATTTTGAAACTGCTACTTGAGGATGCTCGCAATTGACTATATGCACTTTGTGAGACATCGCCTTGCTCTCTTTTGTTCTCATTTTTCAGCTGATAGGACACAATGTAAATCCCTAGTGAAGATTTGCATCTTCCCCTTTATGGGAGAGAACTATGCGTTTCCTTCAGGAAACACGCATGAACATTACACATGCACGTACATACATATGAACTTTCACATTCACTTACACATACTTTGACCACAAACTTTCTACGTTCATTCATACACATTAATTATTGTCTTTGTCAACTGAAACCCTTATGGTATGTCAATACACATACTTGTTTGTATATATATATATATATATATATATATATATACACCAGTCTTTGTTTTCTTCATTTTTCCTTTTACATTTCTGTTGATGGGCTTGTACTTTGGAAGAGTCTGCCATGTTTGTAGTGGGCCACATTTCAGGAGACAACACATTTGTATCACAATGTGTATAAATGGCCCGTTACAAATTGGTGACCCTGACGTGATAGTTATTTTTCTCCTAATAACATGAAAGATACAACTATATATATATATATATATATATATATATATATATACACAGACTGAAATATACACTAACACACAGTTTTCAAACTGAGAGCCAATGAAGAAAAATATCAACAAACTTTTCTCCCTATCCTACCAAGTATGGTGGACACTGTAAACTAATAGCAAAAATAATTTACACAGCTACAAATTTGTGGTTAATCCCTATGAATGTGCAAAAATGACAATTTCCAATACTACAACATATTTACACAATTCATGATGTTCTCCATCTCTACAAGTAGATTTTATTTTTTAGCAACATGTGGGACCCATTAAAAAAAAAAAATAGAATTCTCTATGCGTCTTTCAATTACTAATATGCTGACAAACTCAGCAGCAGGCAGACAACAAGCACCTCTTACATACTGTTACTTTTTACTTGACCCTTCAGTACATGCCAGCATTTTGAGTTAATATATAGACTTTTCAGTCATTGGAAAATATCGACTCTATCAAACAACACCATTATGCTCAATTTGATCTCAACTGACAGACATCTTTAAAAATTTTTTTCTTCGACAAAACAAAACTCTGTTCAACTTTAATCAACACTGTTCCTTCTTGGCTCATCAATTGAAGTGTGACACATCCCTCCAAAGGTGATTCTTTGTCCTTTATTATCACTTTCAACGATACAACACAAAATATTTGCAAGTTCAATATACGATCGACAAGAACAGCAAATTTTCTTTAAAGTTCTCAAACTTGAATTCATCATG